GGCTGGAAAACTGAGAAAATGAATAAAATTGAACTTGACAGATCCATTCTTCCCAACTTTTTCCTTAGTACACTGCCTGGTTCCTTTACTTTAAGTCATCTGCTGCTTGACTTGCTTATTTTTGAATTACCTGAGGTCTTTAAGCTCCAGGGACTACACTCATTTTCTAACTAGATCATGCTACAGTGTAAAGAAACACGGACTGTTCTGCAGTGGACTGCGCTAGAAGGTAAAACGTTCCTTTAAAAAAACAGCATTGTTTTTTAATGCCATGGTTCTCAACCTGTAGCCCGCAGACCCCTCGAGGCAGTACTGGATTTCAATTTTGGCTGCTACCGGTTTGCTCGTGGGCGCGTGCACGCTTACGCAGAGATATCCGGAAAGGTGGGCGGAGCTTCCCGCCACCGCTGCTACCAGTTTGCCAGATCCAGGGCGAACCGGTAGCAACCCACCACTGCCTGGAGGTCTGTGACGTTATCACAGGAGGTCAGTGAAGGCTTGAAGAAATGTTATGATTTAAATCATAATCAAGAATAATAAACATAATAAAATAAGCAAGAAGCAAAGCAACCTGTAATTGAGGAGAAACTTCCTAACAGTGAGGACAATTAACCAGTGGAACAGCTTGCCTTCAGAAGTTGTGGGTGACTTTTAAGATGAGTCTGGACAGCCACAGAACACTGTTATCTTCCCACCAAAGGTGGTCCCTATTTTTCTACTTGCATTTTTTACGTGCTTTCGAACTGCTAGGTTGGCAGAAGCTGGGACAAGTAACGGGATCTCACCCCATTACGCGGCACTAGGGATTCGAACTGCTGAACTGCCGACCTTTCGGTTGACAAGCTCAGCATCTTAGCCACTGAGCCACTACATCCCTAGATTAAACACTATTAAAATTAGTCTAAAAAGTGAAGGGAGGACATTCAGGGGACTATCCAGCCCCATGGCTTCATGTGGGATCCCCATGCGAGGCCACCGACCCATGTTTTAACTCCTTTTTAAAAGGCCAGGAGAGTGAGGGGGCGGGGTGTTTAAGGAATAAAATAAATACCTTAAGCCAGGGTGTCCAAACTTGGCACCTTTAAGACTTGTGGACTTCAATTCCCAGAATTCCCCAGCCAGCCATGCAAAATCTCTCAAAAAGGCCTGTGGCCCAGCATGCTTTTGGAGTTGGCCTTTGACATGCCTTGGAATTTACTCCCATCCCGGACATCAATGCACGAAGGGATATATCTATCTATGCCATAATTAAAGGCATTTGCTTGCCTGCCTTTAGGAGAGAGAAAAATCAAGGAGGCCAATTCTGTGAACTGAACTGAACACAACTTTCACTGCATGCTTGTGACCTGAGGTGGAAGGATGAGAAACAAGAGACTGAAAATTCAGTGGGGGCAGGGGGGACCCTCAAAATACAAGACAAGCCAAACCAATGAAAGGAGGAAAGCTTGTTATAGAAAATAGTATTTTCTATAACGTCAGGATTTCTTCTCCATTATTTCAGTGTTTGGAATTTGAGGCAACCAAATCTTCTTTCATAACATAGGGATTTTATCATGTTTTTAAAGTTTTATTTAACCTCACATGGTAGGCACAGAACCAAGCTTTTTAATCAGCTCTTCATTGCTGCTTAGTTGATATGGTGCCTTTCATTTTATTTTAATGGACATGTTTTTATTCAATTTTTCGGGGCTTCTATGTTTGTTTCAACAATTATTGGGAGAGAGGGAGAGCATTGTTAAAGGAGGAGGCTCTGAGTTCTAATTCTGCCTTAATTTTCATTTCATGAAATATCATGCATATCTTATAGAGCCAGTTTTGACCTAGTGGCTAAAGTGCTGGTCTAGAAACCAGGAGACAGTGAGTTCTAGTTCCACTTTAGACAGGAAAGCCGGCAGGGTGACTTTGGGCCAGTACTTTCTTAGCCCAGGTTGTTATTGTGAGGAAAATAGGAGGAGTAAGGAAGTTCACTGCCTTGAGTGATTTATAAAGTAATAAAGGAGGGATAAAAGATTAAATGAATAAATAAATCTTTTATGGCATGATAAGGATATCTTCAAAAAAGATGGATATATTTTATTTATTTTTCTGATTTATGCCTGAAATCCTAATTCTATTTATTTGTATAAGTAAGAACCATTTTAAACAATCACTGAGAATTGATAACATAATTCTGGTTCAGCAGTGTTATCCTGACACTGTCAAAAATGGAATTAGAGCCACATGGAGGTCAAGAACTCACTCTAGATTTAAGCTGAAGTCCCATTCAGAAAATCGGGGGGGGGGGGGTCAAATTTCATGAAGAATACATCTCAAAGAGCTGCTGATCCAGTTCTACAGAGGAATTATTGAGTCTGTCATCTGCACCTCTATAACTGTCTGGTTTGGCTCTGCAACCCAACAAGACAGACACAGGCTTCAGAGGATAATTAAAACTGCAGAAAAAATAATTATTACTAACCTGCCTTCCACTGAGGACCTGTATACTGCACAAATCAAAAAGAGGGCTGTGAAAATATTTACAGACCCCTCGCATCCTGGACATAAACTGTTTCAACTCCTACTCTCAAAACGACGCCATAGAGCACTGCATACCAAAACAACTAGACACAAGAACAGTTTTTTCCCCGAACGCCATCACTCTGCTAAACAAATATTTCCCTCAACACTGTCAAACTATTTACTAAGTCTGCACTACTATTAATCTTTTCATCATTCCCACCACCCATCTCCTTCCACTTATGACTGTATGGCTGTAATTTTGTTGCTTGTATCCTTACGACTTATATTGATATTGTTTCCTGATTGCTTATTGTATCCTATGACTATCATTAAGTGTTGTACTTTATGATTCTTGATGAATGTATCTTTTCTTTTATGTACACTGAGAGCATATGCACCAAAGATAAATTCCTTGTGTGTCCAATTACACTTGGCCAATTAAAAAAAAAAAATTCTATTCTCTCACTCTCCAGACCTTAACAGATACAGGTATTGCTCGACTTACAACCACAATTGAGCCCAAAATTCCAGTTGCTAAGAGAAACATTTGCTAAGTGAATTTTGCCCCATTTTATGACCTTTCTTGCCACAGCTGAGAATCACTGCAGTTGTTAAGTTAGAAACGCAGTTAGAAACTGCAACACAATTATTAAGTGCTTCTGACTTCTCCATTGATTTTGCTTGTCAGAAGGTCACAAAAGGGAATCACATGACCCCTAGCACACAGCAACTGTCATAAATGTGAATCAGTTGCCAAGCATCTTAATTTTGATCACGTGATCATGGGGAATGCTGCAATGGTCGTAAGTGTGAAAAACGGTCATACATCACTTTTTTTCAGTGCCGTTGTCACTTTGAACAGTCACTAAATGAACTGTTGTAAGTCGAGGGCTACCTGTATGTTTATTCAATCCAGAATGTGTCAAAAGAGGTGGCACTTCAAATATAATGCTTAAAGGAACTTATTTACCCGCAAAAGGAGCCTTTTGAGCAACATTGAACAAAAATAGCAAATTCCCCCTTTTTCAATTGTCAACTGCCTTCATCTGTGGAGATGTCAGATTGAAGCAGAGCAAGGACACCACCTTATCAATGACCACATCACCACACAATCTAAAGTCCTGCTTTCAACATTGCCAATTATTGATGACCTAAGCTGGAAAAGAAGAAAAAAAATCAAAATCTACCAGAGAACAAGTGGACAAGCACAGCCATGCTGCGAGACATATGCAGTAGTGGCCAAAATTGTGGAAACCTTTTGGGAAAAGTGTATTTTTGAGGTTTGATGGCTAATAACACCACTTTTTTTTGGAGTTTCAAAATAATCATATTTCATTGCTGGAATGGCCTGGGAATAGCCCAGACCTTAACCCAATTGAAAATCTATGGAGCCAACTAAAGAAACTTGTTAGGCAGAAGCAACCCAGCAATAAAACCCAGTTAATAGAAGCAATCATTCAATCTTGGTTTCACATTAGAACAGCTGCAGAACTAAAAGACTTGGTTCACTCCATGGGAAGACATTGTAAGGCCATAATTCATGCTAAAGGTTATCCAACTATTAACTGACATGGTGATAATTTTTGTATATCTTGTTTTTTCTATGGTGATAACTTTTGTATATCTCATTTTTTTCTATGTGTTTCATTTTTCTTCTTTATACTGTAACTACTATTCTAATAGCAAAACCTTCATCAAAGTTATTGCATTACATTCTTGATTAAATTATCTTTCTCTTGATATATGATTTTATGGAACTACTCCTAAAAAAAAAAGTGATCTTATTAGCTAGTTTTAGAAAATACACTTTTCCCAAAAAGTTTCCACAATTTTGGCCACTACTGTAGAGAGACAGGAAAAATAAACATCCTAACTGTGTCATACCATCAGATACGCTCAGCTGCTAAGAATCAGAATAATGACCAGTTAGGAAAAAGAAAGCCCAATTTATGCTTTTGCCTTTGATCCATGGAAGCTCCAGCGAGCTATCTATGCATACGTAAGAAAGGGATTTATTTTAACTACTCAGCAAAAATGTTTACACAAGTCCATTTTTATACATCTCCTTCCCTACCCCGATGCTGAAAGGAGACATTTCATCCCTTTAGCAAATGCTTAGGATGAAAAAAAGTTCATTCCTCCTCTTGTAGTAGAAGACAAAGAAAGTAGAAAAACACACACACACATATATATACACACACACACACAGAGCCCATTGTCTGCATGTCTCTGTTGTTTGTGCAAAGTGGCAGGGCTCAGAAATTGAATCCGAGGCTTCCCTCTGTTCTCAGCAATATTGTCTGAATGCCAGATTTTTCAAAACTGCATCCGACTTACATTCCAGAAATATACAACAGCCCAGAAGCACACCGCTTTATGAAATGCCGCAGAAATATTAAATGCCTGTCCAGAGTTAGAATCCAGAACAGAGGCAAATTTTGCTGGGGGTGGGTGGGAGGGGAAGAGAGAGAGATGTTCAGGAAAGAAATAGATTGACCTACCTTTTCAGCATACTTGAATCTGACGTAGAACCAGCTTGACTTAATCATTGTTTCTGTTTAGAAGTGTAGAAGGAATAGGTAGGTTTAGGCGGTTGTGTGTGGTGTGTGTATGGAAAGGAAAACAAAACCCAAGAAGATCTCAAGAACAAAACAAAACAAAAAATAGATGAAGAAGAGAAGGGGAAAAAAAAAAGATACGATTGTTCGTATAGCTCTTTGCCCGCTTTGAGAAGGCAAGCTGGGGTTTCGCCTCTGTAGATCTGCTGCTTGAATGCTTCCGACTGCTCTCCGTCAGCTTGGCTGCCTACCAAGAGACTTCCACAAGCGGACTTCATCTACATTCCTCGCAAATGGCACATGTCAGTAAATCCAAGAGGGCTGGCTTCGGACTTGGCAGTGGCCCAAAACCGTGACCTCTCTTGGCAAGCTGAATAATGAATTCCATCACTTCCCTCCCCTCCTCCAGACACAGATTAACACCTGGCTAAACATTATTCTGACAACCAGCAGGCTGAGCAGACTTTGGCTGGCCATTCGGGAAACTCACTGGGGGTCACTTGAACGGCCCCCCTGGATGCTCCCCGCATCCCATCTGAATGGACGAACAACAAACAAACCAACATCAGGGGGAGTTGGGAAGACCATCTGTCACACAGACCCTCTTCCTCCTCCTAGTCTTCTCCGAAAAATAAAAGTAGAGATAAGCATAAACCAGAAACATAAAGATTAAGAAGAAAGCATTGATCTCCTTTCCAATCTAGTATCCTGTGTTCCTTATCCAGTTCCGTTACTAAATTTTTGATATTCCAAAGGCAGAATCCATCTTCAGTCCTTATGCTCTCACCTCCAACTCCTCCTTTGATTCCTGCATTCTTACTCATGGGCCAAGCTTGAGATGACCCACGTTTTCGAAGAAAGGTCTCTTACAGTGCCAGACAAATTCAATCTCATTATTTCTTTAAAAAAACGAAAGAAAGAAAGAAAGGAAAGGAGATAATATATTTTGCATCACCAAAGCCAAGATTTAATACATAAGGGATGTTAAAGCTTTGTCTTAGCCTAAGCCAGACACCCTTCCTGCTAATTCCAGATAAACTCCAGTTAGTCTGCAGCACAGAGGCTGTAACTGCTTTCCTCTCCTGCTGTCTGTGAGAACCAAGTAGAGTTGCTGTCAAAATACATATTCTCCATCAAGTGTTCCTACATCGGCAATTCATGTTATCAGGACTGTATATACCAGCGGTCACCAACTGGTGGTCCATGGACCACTGGTGGTCCGCGAGAAAATTTTGGTGGTCTGCAGAAAAAATATTTTTTTATATTGCACTAAATCAGGGGTCCTCAAACTACGGCCCCTGAGCTGGATACGTGCAATGAATGTTTGTGTTGCTGCAGAGTCTTCCCCTTTGGGGTCTTTTTGTTCAGGTTGGAGGGGGGCAGAAATTCTGATTTAGGGTCTGCTTCAGCCTCCTGGTGCAGGGCTTTGGGCGAAGCCTGAAGGGAAGTTCTGCTGGTGGCAAAGTGCCGGAGGGCCTTGTTCCAGTGGGAGTGCATCATGGCCTGGAACTGGCTGACCATCTCAGCCCGCTGAGCCTCCAGGCACCGGCACCTGGCCTTGCACTCTCACAGGTCTTCCCTCTGCTTGGAAAGCCTATGCTCCTAGTCCTCAGTGAGGTGCTTCTCCTGAGCCTCCTTCTCGGTCAGATCCAATTTGAGCTGTTTTGCCAACTCTTTCTCTTGGTGGCTGCTTAGCTCCAACAACTGCTTCCTATTGGGGCCTTAAGGAGCCCAGGCGGGCAGGTGAAGAGTGGCTGGGAGGGGAGGGGCGAGTAGAGGCCGGCGAAGTGCCCTTCGATGTGAGTGACATCAAGTTGACCACGCCCACCCAGTCACATGACCACCTAGCCACGCCCACCCAGCCAGTCATTAGGCAGATCATATTAGTGGTCTGGGGAATTCTGGGAGTTGAAGTCCACAGGTCTTAAAGTCGCCAAGTTTGGCGAGCCCTGGGCCTAGATCTTCAGGAGTCTTGCCTTTGAGGTGAAACACGTACAGAGGAGGAGGACAAGAAGCAGCATCAAGAACTGTTTACAGTTTCTTAGAGAAAGGAGAAAGTACAATGAAGGAGCTTTGGGAAAAGAAATACCATTTCTCATTAAAAAATATCTGGGAGGGGAAAAAAATTATTCACATCTATATTCATAGCCGCCTTCTTTCCTGTTCTGGCACATTCCCATTTAAAATAATCTAATTCTGCAGCCTGATGATGTTAATGATTAACAATACGGCATATCAGAAGCATTCATTTCAAAAAATAAGGTACCAGCTCTGAAATGTATGTAAAACAGCTAGCTGAAGAGAAACAACAAGAAGTGACAGATGTGACTATATATCAAACCCAAACAAGAACAATATTTCAATTCCATCCTGTTCTAATGCTCTCCTAATTGTCAAATCAGTACACACACACACACACACACACACACACACACACAAGTACTGCTCACATCTGTCTCTGCCTTGTTGCTAAATAGAAGATGGATCTGGAATTATGCTGTGATTAAAGAGAAGAAAACCATATGTCCCGACTAAACCCTCTTTAAGCTCCTACAGTGTTTTCCAAAGAATAATGAGGTGTATTAAGAAAACTATACAAGTGCTACTTGATCTTATGGATTATGTTCACCAAGATCGATTCCCTGGAAGATGGTTCAACCACTCAGGGAACTTTGGCAATCTTCCCAGTTTCAAATCCCACCTTCAGAAAAAGGGAAAGTTGAGGAAATGATTGGATTTCAAGCCCCACATCTAGCAAGTAGGGACCAAGGGTCTACTCTTTCCATACAACACATGATTGACTTACAGCAAGACTATGCTATATATATATATATATATATATAGCAAGTTTTGGTGTATTCGGGTCTTTTCCCGTGTAAGATTGAGAGTATCTTGGCGACGTTTCAATGAGATCCCATCGTCATCTTCAGGCTTCGCTTTCCTCACACAAGCACAAAGCCATATATATATATACTCCTCAGGGTGCCGTCAGCCAGACAATGTCGGCTGGCGACCCCCAGGGGGAGAGCCTTCTCTGTGGTGGCACCTACCCTCTGGAACGATCTACCCCCAGAGATACGAGTGATCCCAGACCTCCGGACCTTTTGTCGGGCCCTAAAAACTTACTTTTTTCAGTTAGCCGGGCTGACCTGATTCCATGTTGGTTTTAACGTTTGATACTGATTTTAAATTGAAATGTTTTAAATTATGGGCCAAATTTCATTTAATTATTTTTAAAAATTATTTTAACTTTTCTGTACAAATGTTTTTATTTTGGCTGTTCACCGCCCTGAGTCCGAAAGGAGAAGGGCACTATACAAATCTAATAAAAGATAAAGAAAGATAAAGATAAAGATATACAGTATGTGTGAATATAGCATATATTATATAGTACATTAGAATAACAGAATTGGAAGCAGTGATGGGTTGCTCCCAGTTTGGACCGGTTCGCACGAACTGGTAGTAAAACCGGTGGGAGGCTCTGCCTACTGACCCGGATGTCATCATAGGTGATCTGTGCATGCACAGAAGAGCGTGCACGAATGAAGCAAGCTTGGGTGTGTGGGCGCATTGCAAACTGGTAGTAAAGATAAGTAGAACCCACCCCTCATTGGAAGGGACCTTGGAGGTCTTCTAGTCCAACCCCCTGCTTAGGCAGGAGACCCTATACCATTTCAGACAAATGGTTATCCAACATCTTCTTAAAAATTTCCAGTGTTGGAGCATTCACAACTTCTGGAGGCAAGTTGTTCCACTGATTAATTGTTCTAACTGTCAGGAAATTCCTCCTTAGTTCTAAGTTGCTTCTCTCCTTGATAAGTTTCCACCCATTGCTTCTTGTCCTGCCCTCAGGTGCTTTGGAGAATAGCTTGACTCCCTCTTCTTTGTGGCAGCCCCTGAGATATTGGAAGACTGCTATCATGTCTCCCCTAGTCCTTCTTTTCATTAGTATATAATATGTAGTGCATAATGCATAGTATGTAGTATATAGGTAGTCCTTGACTTATAACAGTTCATTTAGTAACCATTTGAACTTACAATGGCACTGAAAAAAAGAGACTTGTGACCATTTTTCATACTCATGACTGTTGCAGCATCTCCATGGTCACATGACCAAAATTCAGGCGCATGGCAACTGACACATATTTATGACGGTTGCAGTATCCTGGGGTCATGGGATCACCTTTTGTGACATTCTGACAAGCAAAGTCAAGGGGGAAGCCAGATTCACTTAACAACTGGGTTATTAACTTATCAGCTGCAGGGATTCATTTAACAACTGTGGCAAAGCGGGACATAAAATGGGGCAAAATTCATTTAGCAAATGACTCACCTAGCAACAGAAATTTTGGGCTCAGTTGCGGTCTTAAGTTGAGGACTACCATGTATGTCCCAGCGTACGGTCATCTACCACTTACTTAAACTATCATGTGGATTGAAAGCAACCACCTCTTTGGGGCATTGTCTATGGAGATTCTCAATTGTCCAGGTCATGGTTCTCTCAAAGATACTTTTTCCAAAAGGCAACTGGATTTCCTTGGTTTTTTTTTTTTCTTTGAAAACATTTCGCTTCTCAGCCAAGAAGCTTCTTCTGTTCTAACCGAGTGATGGGGTATGAAAGGATTTATAATCTTTATTGTAGGGTTCTGATTACTCCCAGTTTGTGCTCCAGTGGATGGTGAGAATCATAATGTAAATATTAATCTGAGTGGGGGTGGATGGCTTCCTATATAGTTCAGTGTTGAGGCATCCTTCCATTCTACAGCAATCTGATAGAACTGAAGAAGCTTCTTAGGTGACAAGCGAAATGTTTTTAAAGGAAAAAAAAAAAAACCAAGGAAGTTCAGTTGCCTGTTGAAAAAAGCACCTTTCAGTCATTGGTTCCAACCTGCTCTCCCCATCACCCTTACCACCTTCAAATATTCCCTTGGAATCTGCTTTCCTCTACATTCACTTCTTCACTCCTGTGATGGCTACAGGTAGGATAAACGAGATCAGAAAGATTCCTCCTGAGTCTGGGTGGGTGTACCCAGGGTAGCTATTCACTTATTTTCCCTATTGGTTCGCAAATGCAAGTGCGCTTCGCTCACATGTGCCACTTCCGCGTATGCACCCGGCCTCAAAGCATGCCTAAATATGACGGCATAGAGCTGGGGCAGACCCACCTGCGATTTCCATTACCGGTTTGCCCAAACCGGCTGAATACCACCTCTGGGTGTACCACAATCAATATACATTGATGCCAACCATTTCTTTTAATGGGAAATGAACAGTTCTCAATCCATTGACCAAGTAAAGGTAGGAGAAAAAGGCGTATATTTGAATCTTGGGAGTCTGCTGTACTGGGATTTCTATGTCACATCTACTACCTGTAGTAAAAACAACTTGACCGGTTTTACATTACATCCTGGAATTCTGAGAATTCCATCTATTCCAAAAAATAGGTTGTAAGAACATAAAAACATCTGAAATGATTTCGATTTCCACCTGAGATCAAGTTAAGTACAGTCATTGTGATTAGCAACATCACACTTTACACAGAGAAATGCTGAAGCAGCTGGCAGGTTTTGAACAAGGCAGAACAAGAC